TTTGATATCTCTGTTTATGGACGGAACGTGTTTTAATTGGGGGTATTGTTGAAGGAAGTATTTTCGCAGGTTCCTCGGCTTTGTGCTCAGGGCCTTACAAGTTGTGTTGGGTTGGGTGTATGGTTCTGGGGAACCTACACATTCTGTTGTGATGGGATGGAGGTATATATATATATATATATATATATATATATATATATATATATATATGTTTTAAAAGATATGTATCTTTTTACTGGTTTTACGGGAACACACTAGAAAACCTATTCTGATCTCCTGAACCTAGACAACCGAAATATTTCCATCTGAACCGAAAAACTCATTGTTCGTTACTGACTGAAATATCAGTAGGATCTTCGTTCAGCATAAAAATCTATGGATGTTCGGAACCAATAAGAAAATATATGTTTATCTGCATCTGCACGTTTTTCAGCATCATCTGGTAGTTCTGTATTACTGAGCTTTCCGAAGCTCACTCTATTACTCAATATTGCAGGTTAAAAGAATTTTACCAGTGCAACTATCGACATCAGCAAGGGAGTTATTCTGGCGTTGCTTGCAGAGTATGGTACATGTGATTAGGGGGTATGTAATTGTATTTTGTTTTCTATACAAGTCTGGAAACCTGTTTTATTTTCGAATACTGATAAATGATTTTATAAGTTACATGTTTAATAAAAGTTTTAAATTTTCCGCTATTTTTACAGTGGGTCGCTCCGGTGGCCCTAATGTGACTTCCCGGATCGGATCGGGTTACCTGCATCGGTCTGGGGGTTACAAGAACATAAATTAAGTAATATACGGGTGACCAAATAATTAGTTTACCCTAAATAAAAAACATGTATAAATTATGTTAAAAAATTATATTAATCTATTTAATATTTTTTGTGTTTAGTCCAAATATTTATATAATTGTTATTATATTTTAAAATTTTAAAATACTAGCATATAAATTATTTTAGATAAAATTTATTATGTTTATATTGGCCTAGTCTATAAAATTTTTCTGGATTCGTCATTACTATGATTTATTTGTGTCCACCAAACATTCATTACAAACTATTTTTGTTCAGGCCCAAAACTAATTCACCAGGCCCTGATAAAATTTAAACGTAAATAGCTAGACTCAAATCCAACCCCTAAACCGGGTTAAATAAAAAAATACATCCTAAACCAAGTTAAGCCTCTGCCCCACCCCCCAAAAATCCACCCAAACATAAATAGATTTTATTTTCTAAATGGGTCCCACCCAGCAACTTAAATCTGGGAAGAACTAAAACATCCCCAAATTCAAATATTTTGACTTTGTAGACTAAAAATCTGAAGAAGAAACACAAACAGAGATATTAACACTAATAAAAGGGAAAAAGAAGTGAAAGGATTAACCTTTTTTTCTGAGATTTTTCCGATGAACACCTCTGACCACGAATTTGTACGGTGAGAAACTCCGAGACGGTGAGTGGGCAAAGATAGCCGGAGACCATCTTGATCGGACGACAAATCTAGGAGATTTTGACGGTAACACTCATGATTTTTAAAGTTATATATATATATATATATATGCAATCAATGTTTTTTTAATGATAAACTAATGTTGGATTTGATTTTAGCACAAAAAAACAAAGAATATGTTAGTGATTGAGTTTTTTGGCCGTCAACGACGATATTTGACAACCGCAAATGATGCCGATGAATGGCTGATCATACAGCCACGGCCGAATATCTCAAAGGATTTTGAGACTTGAGAGAGTGAAAAGGTTGCAGAAGAAAAAAAACAAATGGCTAAAATGAATTTAGGTTATTATTTTAATATATATATAGAGTTACCCGAATAATCGTTCCGACTCGTACCCTTTATCTAGATCCATGCTTTATCAAGTTGAAGGGAAAAAAATCAGTGTTTCTAAAACCGGATCAGATCTTAAACCAGTGAAGGTATTAGTTCATTGGTTCAATCGTGATTCAACCGGGTTGAACCGGATTATATAAAATAATATTTTTTTAAAATTTTACATAGTATTCAAAGCAATATTAATAAATACAACACAACAGAAAAACGTCTAAATTGCATAGAAGAAAAAAAATAGGAGAACAAAACAATCTCACATTGCTAACAAAACATAGAAGAGCATCCCAAAAGTCTAAAGAGTAAAAATAGGAGAACAAAACAATCTCACATGGCTAAGAAACATAGAAGAACATCTCAACTTACTTCTATAAATAATAGAGGTAATTTGGCATTCAAAATCATGGAGCCTTTTGGTGAACACAGAGTGAACTATTCTTTCGCTTCAATCGAGCTCGAGTTTCAAGCTTCAATCGAGCTTCTAAATTTTTTTTGAATTCGATCCTTTTTGAGTTCGAGTTTCAATATTATATTTCGAGTTTGAGTTGAGCTTGATAATTTTTAGCTCGCGAGTTTTTGAGTCGAGTTGAGCTTATTTTTAAAGTTTTCGAGTTCGAGTCGAGCTCAGCAATACTCGAGTTCGACTCGGCTCGTTTAAAAAACGACGTCATTTGGTTTAATTTTTTAAAAAAGAAAAAAACAGAACCGGCGTTTTGCACTGGTTTTGCCGGTTTTCAGCCGATTCACACCGATTTTACCGGTTATCATCCGGTTCTATCGGTTTTCAACCGGTTCGTTGCAAAAATGGTTTTTGAAGTTAACCGGGCCGGACAGGCAACTGATTCACGGTTCAACCGGTCCGGTCCGATTTTGATAACCATGGAAAAAACATGCCGTTTAGTATGAAGGAAAAGAATATACATATATATATATATATATAAAGTGAGAATACACATTACTCAATACACATTAATCAAACAAATAAATATGAAATAATCATAATTTATGATCTAATTTAATGATTATAATCAAACATTTAATGACTATAGTTATTATATTTATTAATAATTTTTTGTTTTTCAGAATGCAAAGTTCTCTAGATGAAGTAAAAAACATGCCAGATTAAATTATAATCATTAAATTAGATTATATTTAATTATATATATTAATAATTTAATGATTCCATGTATTCTGGAATACAAAGTTTTCAATAAAAGTGAATAAACATATAAAACAGTAAAAGTGAATAAACATATAAAACAGTAAAAGTGAATAAACATATAAAACAGTAAAAGTGAATAAACATGTTTTCCATAACGCAAAGTTCTCAAGTTGGAAATTAGGAAATCATATTCGAAATAATTAAGTATATAATTTTAATTATAATATAATTAAATAACCAATTAATCAAGTGTGTAATTATAATTTTATATAAGTCTACTTAAATACATAATGGTTGTGGATTACAATTTCTATTGTTATATTCCATGTGTCTCTTTATTGTTATTGTACACAACATATCTTTCTCTTTTTATATTTTGTGTCGCTTTATTGTTATAATTCAATTAATTCTTTGACCTTTTGTTTATGCATGGAAAAATATTTTAAAAGGAAGACTACAACAAAGGATTCATGTTTGGTAAAAAAAAGGATTTCTAGAAGTTGACTTAAAAATCTTCAAGCAGGTCCCAGAAAAAGACTGTCACACCCCAGTATGAGATTAGATTAATGATAATGGCATTGCCTGGAACCCATTGCTTCCAGCTTTCATTTTCGGCTAGTATCCACCGCGCCTTTCTGACTCCTTTCTGAGAATGGGGCCGCGCTTTAGTCAGCATAAGGCGCGCTGCAGGAGGCGCGTCTTACCCCACGTGGTGTCAGATCAGCGTAAAGCACGCTGCAGGGGGCATGCCTTATTACAAAGGACGTTAAATCGAGAAATATAGTCTAAACGGTGTCTAACAGGGAAAAAAAATTTATCGGGAAAATCGCATTTACAACAGCTTTAGCTTTCTTGGCCGCACCATATTTAAATTAGCATAATAAAATCAAGCATTTAAAAAATAAATTATATATTAGAAAGTTTTATATTTAAGTTTTAGGACAGGCGTAAATTATCTATTTGGTCATTTAATTATTAGTGTGGTTTTTGTTTTGATCACCAAACTACAAAAATCTTTCATTTTCATCAATATATTATCGTTGTTTCAGTTTTGATCATATAACATTATATTATATATGGAAATGATAACATGTCATGGTATATTAACACATTTAGCTATCAAATTTTATATATTTCATCAATTATGTCCTAATATGGAATTATCAAATAAATTTAACACTTCATATTTATAAATTTTATCAATTTAGTTCTCAAGCACATCACCATCATCATTCCTCATCAACCGTTTCAAACTTATCGGTTCAAATCGAGTGGAGGATGTACAATTTTCTGGTCAAGTCGGGTTGACCGAAACCCGACCCGTGCCCGTCCCTAATCGTGACTTTGTTTACCCCGACATATTATCGTGAAGAGCACTAATGTTATACATTAAGAAAAAAGGTCGATAAGGCAGGGTATTAACTATCAACAATTGAATAAGTTAACTATGGAGAATATGTATTCGCTTCTTAGGGTTGACAACTTGTTTGACCAACTTAAAGATGCTCGAGTGTTCTCTAAAATCAACTTGATTAAGGTACTTTCAGTTAAAAGTCAAAGAAGCATATATTTTAAAGATAACCTTTTGATACAGATATAGTCATTACTAATTTTTTATGAGGTCGTTTGTGCTCACTAATGCACCAAAAACACTTTTTCCATCGTACAATTAAAAAACAATGTTAAATTAGTTTAATTAGTTACATCATACAATTTTGTGTTTTGTTTAATTATAATGTATGATTAATATATGTTACAATTATATAATAATATAGATTAATATATATAATAAGCTCAAACCTTTAAGGATTGAATACTCCTAAATTTTGATCGAGAAAGCCTGAAAGAAAAGACCATTGATTTCTGTGAACGTGAAAATATCAAATTTTACAAAATACAACTTTCTCCAAGGTTGGTTTTAATTTTATTTTTCTTCTTTTGCTACAAATGTAAATTGTAAATGCTCACTATAACCCAAGCAATGGGTAAAATCTAAGGTTGTCGAGGAGTATACGACATCAGCACATAAACAGTGCTATAGGGATCCCGTTCATTTGCATTTAAGCTGATGTTGCCACGTCCAATATCGCCATTGCCAAATATTCCGGCCACGGGTATCCCAGGAAAGTTATCCAATAATGGGGAGCTCTCAATGTTATGTTGACCAAAAAATGGTCTCACGCGGCTCATGTTACCAAAGACAAAACCTCCGAAAGGTTCCATTTTACCACAGACATTAGCAACCGTTGAATCCCATTCCAACTTCAACGCTCTAAGGGCAGAGGAGCCATCTTCTCTTGAGGATGATGCAATCCTCGGATCTGGAACGTAAAATTGGAAAGAGTCACCATTTTTTATTCCTACACCACCGACCTGAAGATACTCCTGCAATTCTTCACTGTTGAAAAACAAATAATTCATTCATTTAGACAATAAAACAATCATTCCACTAAAATTTTACCATTGGTATCAAAAATAGTTCTCGTGGATCACTAAGGTCGGCCGAAAGCAGGAAAACAGAATAATAGTAAAATTCTCTTGATCCAGTCCTACACATTAATCCATGCCATATATTTTCTTTTAAACCAAAAAAAGAATGGGAAAAATGATTCAAAGTCTTTCTCTTCAACTTCATGGAATTGCAAGGTTGTCTGCCTACGCCTATTTGAGCCAACTGAATAGTTCTGTGGTCTTGTAACCGCAATGTGAAAACTAAGAGGGAAGAAGTTATTTTCTATCTGCAAGGGGAAATTGTTGAAATGATGTCTTTGAAAAAATATTTACCAAAGTAATCCACCTCTAAATCTCCTGCTCTATTTATGTCTATTTACGTTTTTAACAGTCGTCGGTAGACAATCACCGTTCATCACCGATAATATTTTGTGACAAAATCAATATTAAAATATTCACGTTGCATCCATTTTTTTCGCATATGATTGTGTTTCCACGAAATCCACTCAATAAAAAAAAGCAAGGTTCTACTATAAAAAAAGCAAGGTTCTACTATTTTGGAGACCATGAAAGCTTTAAATGAAGTTCGTTCGGCTTATAATCGTAAAAGTTTTGGAGATAAAACCATTTCCGATAATTTTGTAATTTATAGGGATCAAAGAAGTTCGTTCAACTTATAATTCTATTTTGGGTATTTTACAAAAAGACATTGTGAAAATTAACCTTCAATATTTATCAAAATTATCATTTTGATCTCTATTTTTAATATTTTGACTCGTAATATTTTATTTTAAGATAAAAAATCTAACATTTAGAATATTTTTGACCAGTAAAAAAATTCATATTTTCAAAACATCCATTTGTTAACTACAATTTCCATCCAAACGAGGACTTCTGTCTCAAAATGAAACATTAAAAATTAAAATAATTTTAAAAAGAATAAGATTAAAACGACAATTTAATCAAACATTAAAAAATAATTTCAACATTATAACTACGTAACATGTCCAATACAGAAACTTAGAAGAAAATTATTCAACTTATTTTCACGGCAATTTTACCAAGAATTATTATTTACTAATATAACATTCATTTGTCATTATTTATCAAAATGTCATCTATTCGGATAAAATACGTTTTACAATACTCGTCCTACGCGTACGTCGCAAAGGCATTTTCTAAAAAAAGCGTTTATCCTGATTTGACAATACTTTCAAAAATGTATTTTTAAAAAATTTTAAAATTAAAATTATAAGAACAAAAAATGTAATTTGATAAATCATGACTCCATGAATCAAAAAGATTAATTGGGTTAGTTTAATAGACATAAATAGAGCGTTAAATTTTGTTTGTTAACAATGTGGGATACCTTATAGGCGCGTGGGCATACCTTATAGTCATCGGTAACTTCTAGCTTCTGTTGAGCACCAAGAATCTCCTGCTCTCCTTCTCTTCTGGCAGCAAGCTCAGTAACATAGTAATCCTCTTTCTCTGTTCTGTATACAACCTTAAACTTTGGTCCGATTGCTGTGGAACCATTTGACGCTGCAAAATGAAATTCAATATTCCCTATACCTGACAATTTTACATGCATCAACCTATGTTACCAAACAATGATGCACATAAATGAGATGAATGAGAACACACTATATTATCCTATTACACTTGCAAAGCGAAACATATGCATGAGCAGTGATTAAAACAGTTACTAAGTTTCATAAAATTTGAGAAAAAATAATAAATACAAAATCATAGGAATAGTTACCATGGGCTTTGTTGCTTCTATCTCTTGCGAAAACAAGAGCAACAGCGTCAGTCGACTGTTCGACATTGCTTGTAGCATTACTTCTATACACATACTGACATCTTTCCTCGCCCACAATGATTGTTTCCGTAGACATTGTACGATCTGAGACAAACAGTATTACCAAAAACAACAATAAACATGCACAAATCTTCTGAATAAAATAAAAAGAGAGAGCAAATAGGGAAATGGAAAAACTTGCCTAATATCTTAAGGACAGGTTCCAGGCGAGTCACTATATCCTACAAAATCAAAATGCCACATGTTAAAGTGCCGCCAATTAGAAGACCCTAATTTAGCAACTTACCCCTATCAATATAATTGCTTGCGGTGATGTGGAACCGGACACAGGGGATGTAAAATTCTTAATATCTCTCACGAACTTGTAAACCATTGGCATTGAACAATTGGGTGGCTGATAAAAAGGTAAAGATTTCCATGTTAGTCTTCCTTTGATATATTGAAATTAAGCACCACTTTTTGTTAGGATTTCCTTGTTCTAGAGTTTCAGTAGCTGAACAAAATTTCACCTCTGCCTCAGAGCGTCGTAAAAGAGGGATCACGTCGACCTTAAGTCCCGGAACGAATCCAACAGTCAATTCAGTGCCCGTATTTACAGTAATTTCCTCATCAGTATTTTCAGTCCACACAACCTGCCATTTCATGAACCAGAATTCAAAAACAAAAACATAAAAGTTTAAGCATCACAGTGATACAGAATAGGAAAGTACTTAAAAATAGAAAAGAAAGAACAAACCTCCCTAAATTCTTGAGTACGTGCATCTCGTCCAAGAATTCCTTTAGCACAAACTACAATAATCGGTGTTCTTGATCCAAATTTTTTTACCATCTGCCAAAGGAGCAAAACATTTAAAAATTTCTAAAAAGTAAGCAAGTAGCTAAGAAAGAAAGAAAGAAAGATTATGTTTTTAGACTTCATACGAATTGGAGAATGTCATCGAATTCAGATCCAAGACCAACACTCGCCATAACAAAATGGGGTCGAATTGGCTCCGACATAACCTTTTCAAAAAGCTCTTGTAGAGCATCCTACACCAATGTTTACAAACAAAAATCAGCAAAAGAATATAAAGAATTACTTTGCTTTTGAATTGGGAATTAAAAGAAAAAGTGGAGATATTGTTACAAGAGGCACAGGGTTGAAGGAGATGGCGGAGGAGAGCTTAGGTCGGGAGAGAATGCGAGAGCAAGCGGAGTTCCAGTCTTTACGGACGGCGGCAGCGGAAGCGAAAGACTTGGCAGGTAGCCTTGAAAGTATGTTATCAAGAAGATCACTGGTCATCAAAGAAAACCCAATGTTCTCCATCGAAGGGCTTGTGGAAGACTCTTAATACCAACTCAAGTTTCTCGTTTACTGCTTTCAGGGGGGGGGGGGGAGTTTCTCGTTTGCTTTGGGCTTTTCCACTATCTCCTAGTTTTCCTTTATATCTCTAACTTTTTGCAGCAATCAATTATAAGAATGAGCAAATCGAATCCCAGATCAAGACTTTGAATCTTGATTATTTACAGCTGAAATAAAACTTACCCATGTTCTTTCTCCCGCTCTTTCTCATTCTTCCAGTCTCGTCGGTTACAAATTTCAAACTAAATTACAAATTACTCACTATACGTTTATTTTTTTTTTAATTTAATCATTAAATTTTATACATTATATTTTTTTCTCTTTTTTGTTTTTTTTTCTCTAACTATGTATTACTTTTTAATCAATTAATATTTTATTAATATTATTTATATTCTTTATTAACCCCCATTTTCCGCTCACCTTATGTTTCCCTTTCTTAGGAACGTAAACGAGTTGAGTCGAGCTCGAGTATTATTAAACTCAACTCGAATACCTTTAAACTAAATTCGATTCGATTTGAAAACTTGTGAATCTAAAATTGTCAAACTCGACTTGAACTCGAAATAAATATTTAAAGTTTACTCGACTCAACTTGAAAGCTTGAGAGCTTAAAATTTCAAGCTCTACTCGAAATCAAAAATTGAAGTTCGAAACAAACTCAAACATGAACCTTAAGTACATAAAAACGTTATATTATTTTCTTCTTCTTTTTCGATGGAATCGGATTAAGTGCAGATCTTCTTCATTTTGACTTGAAATTTAATGGTTAAAAAAATTAACTAGCTTTACCACAACATTACTACTACTTCAAAAAAAAATTTAGACAACAAACAAAATAGGAACATAATAAAATTTGTCTTTGTTGATGGATAGTGGTTTGGGGTGGTTATAATGACGATCGATGTGATGATCGGGATCTTAGTTCGCTCAGATTGAGGACAAAAAATGGAGAGTAATGGAGGAATAAGAAGAAGAAAAGAGAAAAAAATAAAGAAAAAAATATAATTTTTTTTACTTCATTTTGGTCTAAATTTGATTTTTCTAAAGTCTTAAAATGACGTTGTTTTGATATAAGTTGTCATGTCATAACATCGTTAAACAATTAACAACAGAGTAACAAAAAAACTCAATATGTAAAATTCAACGAGTACATTAAAAAAATTAAAAGTATAATAAATGAAATAAGAAAGAGAGTAAAATTCAGTTGCTAAATTTGAAATTTACCCTAAACAAAAAACAAACATAAGTTCCTCTAGTTTGCAATCATATACCCTTCATCCTTCAAGTTTCTAACTCTTTATCTAAATTAGTTCTGTTGTTTTATAATTTTTTTTCTTCTATAAATACAAAAAGGGATAAGTCTATAATGAATATTATTCATCTAAATACATTACTAATGATATCTATTGATGTGACATAAACCACATCACTAAAAGGAATGATATGACATATGTCATGTTATTAAAAGTAATAACATAATATGTGTCATGTCAACAATTTGACACATGTAAAAATGTCATGTCCTCAATATGGGTGGTTGTTACTCAACTAACATCTTCCATCTAATAAGGTTTGATTCACATAAAAGGTGAAACGTTTAGAGATAAAATGTTTTGAAAAAAAATAGAATATAAAGTGATCATTTATAAAAATATTGGAGGTATTTATGTCATTATACTAATAAAATATTAAAATTAAATAAAATGATATCTAACAATAAAAGATAAAAATAATTTTAAATTTAAATATTTTATTTTATACTCAAACCATATATATTAAATGAAATAAAATTATAAATAATTTAAAATATCCACTTTTAAGTGGAAATTGAAAACTCAACATTATTTTTAGAATTCATTATAAGTTTGAAATTTGCCATTATTTATTTAAATAAATAAATAAAATTTATTTATAAATTTTTTTAAAAATTAAATTTCTCTTTTTTTAAACTACTACTATTATTTAATTTTATTAAATAAAAATATAATAATATTATAAGAAGAATCTACAAAATTTAAAGTAAACTAATCACATTAGATGATTTATCTTTCAATCATAGGAATACACAAAACTTATAATAGAAGAGTAAAATATGATCCTATAAAAGAATTAAAACAATAAATTGTGTATTTTACCCATTTAATAATTCCTCAACTAATGATACTGGCCCTCGAACCCTGGACTCGTAGCTCGAGTGCTTTGAGCACAAGGCACAACAAACCAGCAAGCCTCACCCTACCTGTAAGCACTGGCGAGGTTCTCCAAGTAGTTTTCGAAATGCAGCTCGGGAAGGCTCCGAGTATTGATGGTTTCTATGTGTATTTCTACCAATAGAATTGGGATGTGGTTGGGCCGAGCGTATGTGATTTCATTCGAAGAGCATTTGAGAGTAGCGAGATCCCTACGGAAATCAATCGCTCCCTGTTGGTTCTTATTTCAAAGAATAATGCTCCTGAGAATTTCACTCATTTCTGGCCGATAAGTTTGTGCACAATGATTTTTAAAACTCCAACGAAAACTATCGTGAATAGGCTTAAGCCTTTCCTTTCGAAGAGGATTTCGGAAACTCAGACTAGTTTTGTGTCGGGTTGCTACATCACGGAAAATATCATTATTTCTCATGAGGTGGTCAATTCAATGAGGTGTAAATAGGGTAACAAGGAATGGATGGCCATTAAATTTGTTCTTGAGAAAGTTTATGATCGACTGGAATGGGGTTTCATTGATGACTCTTTGGGGAACATTGGCTGCCCATAATTGCTCCGGAAACTAATTATGAACTGTGTTTCTGTTGGTTTTTTTTGACAAAATCCCACATTGGTTGTGTATAAGGAGGAGAGGAAATTCTTTTTTTATAAATAGAGCCCTCCTCCTCCTTAGTTAATCATCCCACAAATATAAGTCTTCTTCTATATTAAAGGCTATTTGTACTCTTTCTCTCTCTTTGTAATATTTCCTCTATTAGTGAAATATTATTTTAGTAGTGTTCGAGGACGTAAGCATAATTTTGGCCTAACCTCGTTAAATTTTGGTGTTCTCTTTTATGTCTATTTAATAGCTATTATCGAATATAGTTGTTGTTAATTATTCTCCTATTAAAATTACTTGTCTTGGTAGTTCTGTCTAAGGAGAGTGGGTTTTAAAAGGGACCATTGTGACCCCTCCACTCTTTCCTGGGAATCTACCTTGGGGTGATTTTTAGTAAAATCGTTTTCACATTAGTCACATAGATAATAGTTTTCAACGTGAATTTGTTATTATTGGTGGAAATTAACCCAAATTCCACAACAATTGGTATCAGAGCTCTTGGTTTATTTTAGTATGCTCTGTGGTTGCGGCTTAGGCTGATCTTTCACATCAAAAAAAATTTCCTTGGGATAATTGACATTCCGTATTGACAGCTATTAAATAGAATTTGTAGCAGAAATGGCAGATGAAACAAAAACATCCGCAAGAAATGTTGTGACAAATGTTAGATTTGCAGTGGAGATTTTTTATGGCACTAGTCATTTCGGCATGTGGAAAAGTGAGGTTCTAGATGCCCTATTTCAGCAGGGTCTAGACATTGCTATTGAAGGAGAGAAACCATATGATGTTGAGGAGAAAGAATGGAAGAGGATCAATAGATTGGCATGTGGTACTATTCGATCGTGTCTTTCTAGAGAGCAGAAATATGCATTTTCTAAGTAAACTTCTGCAAGTAAATTGTGGAAGGCACTGGAGGAGAAATTTTTGAAGAAAAGCGGTCAGAACAAGCTCTACATGAAAAAGCGATTGTTCCGCTTCAACTATGTACCAGGTACCACTATGAATGATCACATTACTAGCTTTAATCAGCTGGTGACTGATCTGATGAATATGAACGTGACTTTTAAAGACGAAGATCTGGCTCTGATGTTGATGGGATCACTTCCTGATGAGTTTGAGTATCTTGAAACTACTCTACTTCATGGGAAGATTGATGTGTCTCTCAGTGAAGTAACTGCTGCCTTGTATAGTTATGAATTGAGAAAGAAAGACAAACAAGAAAACACAAGTGTCGAAGCAGAAACTCTTATTGTTAGAGGTCGTTCGAAGAGTCAGAATAAAGGAATAAGAGGGAGATCGAAGTCAAAGTCCAGATTGAGCAAAGATGAATGTGCCTTTTGTCGAGAAAAAGGGCACTGGAAGAAAGAATGTCCTAGGCTAAAGAATAAAGGCAAATCTGAAAGGGGAAAGGCTGTCTCAGAATCAAATGTGGTCAAGTATGATGATGCAGATTCAGATTTCGCATTCGTTGCTACGCCATCAACCAGTTGTTCCAGTTCATGGCTGTTAGATTCAGCTTGTAGCCACCATATGACCCCCAATAGAGAATGGTTCTTTGATTTTAAAGAACTAAAAGGTGGAATTGTCTACACAACAAATAATTCCCCTCTTGACACACTTGGGGTTGGTTCAATTCGCTTGAGGAATCAGGATGGATCAATCAGAACCTTAACAGGTGTCCATTATGTACCAGATTTAATGAGAAATCTCATCTCTGTGGGAACCTTAGAGTCAAAAGGTTTAGAAGTGAGGGAAAAAGATGGGATTATGAGGATTATCTCTAGTGCACTGGTGATAATGAAGGGAATCCGGAAAAGAAACAATGTGTATTACTTTCTGGGTAGTACAATTGTTGGGACAGCAGCAGTGGCAGCTTCTACTGATGAACATGAGTCACGAGCAACCAGGTTATGGCATATACGCTTGGGGCATGTTGGTGAAAAATCCTTGAAATTGCTGATAGATCAAGGATTATTGAAGGGTGCTCGGGCTTGCAAATTAGCTTTTTGTGAGCATTGCATCAAAGGGAAAAAGACGAGGGTGAAATTTGGAACAACAATCCATGATACTAAAGGGATTTTGGATTATGTTCATTCAGATGTATGGGGGCCTTCCAAGACAACTTCATTGGGAGGAACACACTATTATGTCACCTT